TCCAAATGGGCCATGTCCATTTGGTGTCACTTGCAGCAAATTAATAGTCTTGGGCTTGTAATCTTCAAGCTTAATTTCCTCCTTAGCCCATGTAGTAGTAATTAGACTATTAAGTGATTCATTCATCCTCTTGCGCCTAGCACGAGTCATTGGTCTAACAATGTTTGAAAGTGGATCACGAATGTAAGGATTATTCTTTAAAGCAGCATCTTTAGATCCTCCATTAGCATTCACGTCCTCAACTTGCTCGTCTTCTCCATTATTGGCAGCAACATGTCCCTCTTCATTAGTGTTAGCTAGATGGTCTCCATCACAGGGTTTTTGATATGCAACCTCCACATGCTTTATTTCTGCACACTGCTTCCCAGGCAACCAAGGATCTGCTTCCTCCGTTGCCTTTTTTCCCCCCAGAGAAATTCCCTACAGTGCCTTTCTATTTGCTTAACAACACTTTTTGGAAGAAGAAATATCCCAGTCCAATAAGAATGCAAGCTCAGGAGCACTGAATTGACCCATAATAACCTGCCTGTATATGACAAACTCCTCGTTGACCAGCATTTAATCCTTGCTATGATTTTATCAACAACAACCTGGCAATCCTGCTGATTCCATGCAGTAGAAGAGATGGGAACTCCAAGATAGCGAATTGGAATATTGTCGACATGGAATCCCATAACCTGCTGGATTTCATACTGCAGTTCTTCATTAACACCACCAAAGTAGAGGCTTGATTTCTGTATATTCACTGACAGCCCTGTACTTTCTTCAAATTTCTTCAACACCGCTTTAATTCGTCTAATGGTACACACATCTGCTTGGCTCAGGATAATCAAATCATCAGCAAAGCTCAGATTGATTATCCTGAGCTTATCATAGTGCATGTGATACAGAAAATCGCCTTTCTCAGCTTTCTGTTTGAAAAGTCAATTCAGATACTCCATTATCATGACAAAAATCAGGGGAGAGAGTGGATCTCCTTGACGTAACCCACGCTTCCCTTGGAAGAAACCTGTGCTTACACCATTTAAGTATAGAGAAAAACTCGGCGTTTTGACACACTCCATAATCAGGGCACTAAATTTTGGTGGGAAACCATAAAATCTGAGGAGTTCATCAACAAAATCCCAATGGGCTGAATCAAAAGCCTTCCGTAGATCAACTTTCATTAGGCAACTAGGTTTTATATTTTTCCTCCGATATAATCTAACCAATTCCTGTGTTAGAAGCACATTGTGAAGGATGGATCTATTCTGAACAAACGCTCCTTGGTTAATATCTACAATTTCTGGCAGGACTTGGCTTAATCTCATGCTCAAAACCTTAGAGATAACTTTATATATAGTGTTACAGCAAGAAATTGGTCGGAATTCAGTAGCATCTCTAGGCTGAGAATTTTTCGGAATCAGATATATCATGGTTGCATTAATTTGTTTTAGCAGGTTGCCTGACTGAAAAAATTCTAGCACAGCTGCATAAACATCTTCCCTTACTACCCCCCAGGCACTCCGGTAAAAACCACTACTAAAACCATCTGGTCCAGCACATTTATATATATTAATGCTAAACATTGCCTTCCTGATTTCAGCCTGGGTGAATTCTTTAATCAGGAGAATCTGCTGATTTACAGACAGTTGAATCCCTGAATTAAAGGATTCACTTTCAGCTGAAACCCGAGACTTTTCCACACCAAGTAAACTTTCAAAATACATGAGGAAGTGCTGTTGTACCTGTTGCCAATCTTCAATCAACTCCCCTTGCTGGTTTGTGAATGAGAGTATCCTGTTATGGATCCTCCTTTGTCTGATGCAATTATGGTAGTATCTGGAGTTTGTATCTCCCTCTTGGACCCATCTTTCTTTTAACCTCTGCTTCCAGAAGCTTAATATCGCTTTGCTGGTGACCATCAGCTGTTGAACCTGATTTTTCTCCCTCTCTTGAAGCTCAGTGTTTTGAGGATCCAGAATTAACTGCTCCTGAGTTGCCTTTAACTCTTCCCTCTGCTCATGTTTCTTTTGCTCAATGTTACCATAGTGATCCCAATTGAGTTGCTTCAACCCGTATTTCATTTGTTTCTGTTTCTGAACCAAAATGTACTGCTTTGAACCCTTCTTTGATGTTGTCCAACCTATTTTCACCACCTCTTGAAACCTTGGATGAGACGCCCACATATTGTAATACTTAAAAGCCTTTCTAGGCTTTCTTTGCATATCTCCCCATTCCAGCAGGATAGTGTGATGATCCGAGATTCCTGGTGCTAAGACCTTTGCTGTTGCTTCTAGATACATTGCTAGCCATTGATCATTAACTAGCATACGATCCAGCTTTGACAATATTCTGCTACTGCCAAACTGTTTATTGCTCCATGTAAATTTGCTTCCGTGCGTCTTGATTTCTTCCACTTCACATTGCTCTAGTACCGGTCGAAAACTGTCTGAGTCAGAACTCAATGCTATAGTTCCTCCCAGCTTCTCTTCTGGTGTCAAGATGCAGTTAAAGTCTCCTACTATAATCCAAGGACTGGTTATATTTCCTGCTTGTGCTATAAGGCCATTCCATAAAGGAGTTCTTCCTGGAGCATTATGAGTAGCATAAACTACTGTTAATTCAAACCTTTTCCCAGTCTTCATCTCTTTACAGGTGCAGTGTATAAATTGATCCTCCACCTTCATATTACTTACTTTATATTCATCCTTGAGCCATATCAATAGTATCCTTCCTTTTCCTTGACCAATATGGTTACTAACATAGTCATATGCATACCAGGTTTTGCACATGAGCTCTTCTACATTACTCCCATTCAACTTTGTTTCCAAAATCCCAACTATCCCCACGTTATTGACAGTGAGACAATTGCTTATCTCTCTGTGTTTCAGAGGGCTGTTAAGCCCTCTTACATTCCAACTTAGCAAGTTATACATGGAAACTAGACCTTAAATTAGGGCTACTAGCACCATCATGACTCCCCTGCTTAGCTGCTTTTCTCTGCTTATCCACTGCCTTTGCATTAGTGACTTTCGATTCCCTTCTTATCAAAAGCTGTTTCATATCTCTCTGAGTGGTTTGAGTCTTTTCCTGTTCATAATCTTTCTTTTCAGTCCTTTCCTCATGCTGAACTGATATTGTTTCCTGCACATCTGTTTTTGAGGCTTTAGCATCAACAGAGGTTGCTTTTGCTGTACCGTCCTTGTCTTTCACTACTTGTGTTGTTTCCTTCTCAGTTGCTTTCCTTGGCTTCCAAGTTTTTTCCACTGGCTTCCTGCATTGGCTCAATTCATGTCTATATCCTTTACAGTTTTTGCACTGCACCGGTTGCCATTCATACTTCACCTTTTGCTCCTGTAAAATACCATGCTCATCTTCGAACCACACCTCTGTTGGTAGCTTCTCTGAAAGCTCAATTTCAACCAGAACTCTAGCAAACCCTGCTCTATTCTTGGAAGCTGTCATCTCATCCATTTCAAGAGGTTTCTCTAGTACACTGGTAATTCTACTAAGTGTTCTTGCCTCCCAGTATCTCAGTTGCAGTTTTGGCAGTTGGATCCAAATCGGCACCTTCTTCACATCTTCAATCTTAAAACTATCCTAACATTCCAGTCCTTGACTATCAGGGGCCTGTTATCAAAGTGTAGTACCGTTTGATTCAACACCTCTTCCTTTGCTGATAGATTTCTAAACCTCACTATATAAATTCCATTATCCATGAGCAACACCTTATCCACTCCTTGCTTATTCCATATTCTACGAAGAAAGCCATTAACCACAAAGAACAGGGGGTTTGCACCCAAGACATAAAAAATGATTGATGGCTTCCAATAGTCTATAGCACTTTGAATCTCAGATTTATGTATCTTTGCAATCGACTTATCATTAACAGTAACAGGCTCAATATATTCCAGTTTCCTACTCATGCCTTCCATTTTACTAAAGTTAAAATTACTCCACACCTCATGAACCCTAGATTCAACAGCAGTTCCATTCACCTGATTAGATGTTAAATTGGAGGTAGAAAACTCCCCAATTTGAACAATCTTTTGATTACACAGCGTTTCCAAAATCTCAGATTCACGATTTTCCCCAACCAGATTCGATTTAGATTTACTAACCTCAGCAGCAAAATCCTCTTTTGATTGGTGTAGTTCCTCCTCCGATTGCCCAGATTCAACTTCATGTGATGCTCCTTTCCCTCTCCTCTTCAGCCTCCCCACCATCGTGAAGCACCGGAGCGTGCCGGAGATGAAGACTAATCGCATATAGTGAACGTATTTTCGCCCACAGTACGTGAAGAGAGAGAAAAAGTTTAGCTCTTAATTTAGAGAATTTAACTATTTTCTGGTTTTTTTACTAAAATTTTTCCAAAAAATAAAAGTAGTAGTAAATGAGAAGTGAAGCAATGGACTTTAGCAGATGAGCTAAACTAAAAGGGAATACTAAAAGTTCGAACCCGGATCTCTCCGACACGAATCCTTATTGGCCAGAGCAATGATTTCAGACAAAATATGCGTAATATGTCAAAAAAAAAATATTAAGAAAAAATGGGATGATCATCACAATTTAGTGACCAATTCCATCGATTTCCGAATTTGGAGGATTAAATGTGAATTTTCGCAAAGTATTTTACACATGTCAGCAACACCTAGAGAAAGGATAACATAAAAAATTAAAAAAAAATTAAAAAATAATCTAAAATTCTTACATATCTCTTCTTCATCAAAAAAAAAAAAAAAAAAAAAAACTCCAGAAAAGCCGAATCGGGGGTTATTGAAACAATGCTACTAACAACCTTTGCCTCCAAAATAAAATTTGTACCAGAAAATGTTCCTCCCTTTCCTCAACCATCCTCCAAAAAGCTGCAGCACCAAAACCATGAAACTCTTCTTCGTCGCCGTGACTTCTTATCCTCATTCCCCTTCAAATTTATCCCACTCTTCGCTCCTCTGCTCACTGGTTATGATTACTACCCCTTTAATTTACCAGTCTCTCAGGCTCGTGGGTTGTTCCAAATGCCTCCATTCCGGCTCAGCAATAGGTAAGTCGCTGATTTTCTTGTCTAAAACTAATATACATCAACATGGGTTTTGAATTCTGGTTTTTGGTTACTTAATTTCGTTTTATGTGATTGTTTGTGTTACAAATCCCCGTTTGTGTTCATGGCTGATTGAATTGGGATTTTGTTATTGGAGACCGCGATAATTGTTAAATTTGTGGGGACAATTGAAGGTAGTTCTTTTATCCTCTCTACTGTCCTAATCTTTGTATAAATTTGGTTCTCTACGTATGGATTTCTATATATGGAAAGGGTAGCGATTTTGTTTTTGTTTTCGGTTTTGGGGCAAGTAAAAAATTGAAAATTTGCATTGAAAATTTTGAAAAGATATAAGGAATTCCGCTCAAAACCCACTAAATGCAGCAGGACAAGCCAAGAAAGTGACTTTGTTCTTTATGACTTTTGGGTTTAGAAGCAGAATTGAATTTCTTGTCTGCATATGTTTTTTTCGTCTGGAGTTCATTTGATCTATTTATTTATTTATTTATTTCTTTTTTGGATAAGATAGATATTTTTTGGTTAGAGCTGGGGAGTCAGAATATGAGAGCTTGGGGGTGATTAACACGAATCCAGTCGCTAAAACTTCAGTGGATAATGGCTTATCAAACCAAGGTAAGAAGCAAACAATCAAATCTGCTTTAGCTCTAAAAGCAATGGGAGCTTGTGAAGGAAATTGTTGGATATGGCCTTCGATTACCCAAAGGGCTTACCAGGCTGCTGAGATTATAGCTGCGGTTAACGGGATCGGTAGAAGGTATTAACTTTCACAATCCTGTTTATTTCTTGTTTTCCATGGCACTGTTGGATTAGTTCATCTTAGCTGCTATGATAACGATTCTTGCATCGGAAACTGATTGCAGCCACATTGTACCAGAATATAGCTTTTTGGATGCTCGCGGATTGGGAGCATATGAAGGCAAGAACTTGGATTCTGTTTCCGAGGTTAGACCACATTATAATAGTCGTGTTTACTGCGTCAGGTATATTTCTTTTGTGTATTTCGAGACCAATATTAAGTTTCCGTGAAGTATGGATGTAAGTTCAATGCTTGAAGTTATTCCAATTCAGGTGTTTCAGTCACAAATAAATCATTTCAACCTTATTTAGGCGCTACACTAGTTAGATTAGGTGACTAAGTTAAAATGTTATCCGCAAAACTCTGCAGGTTTATGAACAAGATAGTCTTTCTCCCAACATCAAGCCGCCACCTATTGATGATGGAACGCCTAATGAGAGTGTCTCGGATGTATTTGTTCGCGTGACACAACTCATGTCAATTCTGGAAACTCAATACTCAGAGGACACAGTCATCATTGTTTCTCCAGATTCCGACAACTTGTCTATCCTACAAGCTGGTTTGGTCGGGCTTGATCTCCGGAGGCAAGCTACTTTATAAATATAAGTTCTTGTGTTATTTTCTAAAATTCTATTTTCTCAATTATAACTTCCGAATAGCGCACAATTTTATCTGGCTTTTCTGTCTTTGCAGGCATAAAGATCTTTACTTTGGTCCAGGGGAAGTGAGATTCATAGATACAACTAGTATACCTACATACAAGCAGCCTGCTTCTGCTATATACAAGTGTTTAAATCCTCCAAGTTGTACTTGAAAATTAATCAAGAACCATTCCAACTTAAATGATGTTGTACAAACCCTTTGCTCTTTCTTGCTCAAGCGATTTGACATTTATGGAAGACTCCTTTAGAACATCACATAAGTTGAATGGTTATGATTTATGAACTATGGCAAAACAAAAGTAAAGGTTGATACTTTCACATGATGTTCATGAAGCATAGGTTTCTAGTTTTTAGTTACAAACAAAAAAGATTAGTCTTGATAACCCCATAAAAAATTTACAACCAAGCTGGATTTTTCAAAGGAGTAACCACAGCCTTCACTTGTAAATAGTTGTGAAGGCTATAAATTCCTTTCTCCCTTCCGATGCCGCTCATCTTGTAGCCTCCAAAGGGAATAGCAGCATCAAACACATCAAAGCAGTTGATCCAAACTGTTCCAGCTCTCAATCCTCTGGACAATGTGTTTGCTGTATCTATGTTCTTCGTGTAAACTCCGGCTGCTAGGCCATATCTTGTAGCGTTTGCCCTTCTAATCACCTCATCAAGGTCCCTGGACAGATTAAAATCAAACTTCAAAGTATAGTTTACCCATTCATTTTGTTCATTCTTTTCGAAGTACTGAATTATTCTCTTCATCCCATGAATGAAATCAATAGGGTAGAACATGCAAAATTTTGAGGATTTCTGCGAAAGTAAGTGAACGACTCACTTAAACTTCAAGATGGATTGTACTGGACCAAAAATTTCATCAGTTGCAATCAACATGTCGTCCTGTTTCAAAAAAGAAATTGGCGACTTAATCAGTCCTGACACAAGCTGAACTAAAGAGGGGACACAACAGTCAATAAAAAGTGGATACCTTCACATTTGAGAATACAGTAGGTTGTATGAAGTATCCTTTTGAGCCTATTCTTTCCCCTCCACATTCCAGGGTTGCATTGCTTTCAACTCCTGATCGGATGTACCTAAGAACTTTTTCAAACTGCTCTGAATCGATCTGCGAGATGTAACCAACAAGTAACAGTTCTATTCAGTTTAAAGGTAAATTCTCTTTGTAGAAACTGCATAAACCCGGACTACTCTTCCTTCAAAGTGAAACAAAATGCGGTAATCCCACTACAGTAGTCATAACCTATTAAGGTCTTCTATTGACATGCTTGGAAATGTGAACAGGTGTAAATGTGGACATGAGACTGAAGAAAGTACCTGAGGACCTTGTTCAGTTTCTTTTCTAAAGGGATCCCCAACTTTACGCCTCATAGCGCGAGCCTTAGCTTTTTCCAAGAACTCATCGTAAACTTTCTCGTGAACAAATGTACGAGATCCTGCACAGCAGCATTGGCCCTACACTTGCAAACTCTCAAATTTATTGCCGTATGGCCATTGTCTGCATTTTAGAAGGCTGTACGAAAAGATGATTGACCAACCTGATTAAAGAAAAGAGCAAAATGTGCTTGCTCTACAGCTTTTCCAATATCAGCATCTTCACACACAATGAATGGCGATTTGCCACCAAGTTCTAGAGTAACTGGTTTCAAATTGCTTTTTGCAGCCAATTCAAGTACAATCTTTCCTGTCTCTGTTGACCCTGTGAAAGCGAGCTGCAGAGGGTGACAATTGAAGTTGTAAGAACAGATGGAAGAATATTTCGTTGCTACATTTACAATTTTCATTTAAAAAAAAAAAAACTCAATTGATAAATGGAGTATTAAGACAGAATCGAGATACATGATACACACTGAGTTGATGTTCCCAAAAAATATTGCATAATCTCCCAGAACAGTGTATCTGCTGTAGATTGGATTTGTCCCAACATGATATAAATCCAATAATGACAATATTATTATGATTTTGATTTTGAAGTTTCAAACTCAGGTCAACTTATTGCTTCTAAACCTTATGACACACACAAATGGTGCAGGGGAGAGTATTTAACACCCGAAATCTGATATTTGCCTCGGTAATAACTAAGTTTTCATTGCAATCCTAACAGAAACGCTAAAGATATCCTTGGAATATCTTTAGTATAAGATTCTGAAACGTTTTCTTTTCCTTTTGACTCTCTTGAAACTAGGAATCTTGAGATCGAATTCGACTTGTAATATTTTGATCTACTAACACGTGAATATAAATGAAACAGAACTTTCCAACCTTGTCCACATCCATGTGACTGGCCAGAGCTGCACCAGCAGTTGGCCCGAAACCTGATACTACATTCAGAACACCAGGAGGAAGACCAGCCTGCCAGGAAGCAAAATGATAGATCAAAAGTCAAAACAAGACTACTTTCTGTTTAAGCAAATGTACAGAGTCTGCTGATAACAGCTTAAAAATCACCCCCTCCCCAAAAAAAAAATAATAAATAAATAAATAAATTGCTTATTCATCCCAAAATCCTGTTTTTTACGCAAGGCGCCTTAAGTTAAACTAACCTCGTGGAACAATTTTGCAACATAAAGAGCAGTTAATGGTGTTTGCTCAGCCGTCTTGAGGACAACAGTGTTCCCAGTTGCAAGTGCTGGTCCAATCTTCCAAGCAAACATCAGAAGTGGAAAGTTCCAGGGAATAATTTGACCTGCCACACCAATTGGTTCGTGTAGAATCTGAACATGATGAGGGCTATCAGCTGGAACTGTTAAACCATGTATTTTATCCGCCCAACCTGTAAACATTTAGAGTAAAAACCATCAAAAACTGCAAATCAGGAGCTTAATTCTAGAAGTGGCACCAAGTATCATACCAGCATAATAGTGAAATAGGCGGACGAAAATTGGTAGTTCAACTTTGGCAGATTGCTCATAAGGTTTCCCATTATCCCATGTCTCAAGAGCAGCAAGTTCATCACTATGTTTCTCCACTAAATCAGCAAATCGCAACATAATCCTCGCCCTTTCCTATTAGTGTATTAATCATAAACAAAGGTAGTAATCTTGGTAAGGTTGGTCATTTTGTGCTAGGTTCCAAAGTTCACTAAGCGTTTAAGAATCGGGAGGTTTACATAGGCAGTCATTCTTGGCCAAGGACCCTCATCAAACGCCTTGCGAGCAGCAGAAACAGCGCGGTTGATGTCTTCTACATCACCTTCAGCAACATTTGCAATGACTTCTCCATTGCGAGGGTCCAAGGTAGGAAATGTTTTGCCTGTATCAACAATACATATGAAGAATCCAACCATGGATATTCTTGTCCCGGATTCATAACAGGAGGATATTCTTTTCAGTGCAGAATAATTTAAAATCACCTGAAGCAGAATCTACAAACTGGCCATTGATTAGTAGCTGGGTGTAGTTTATCTTAACCGGTGGGGTAATTGGTTCCTCAACTGCAGTAGCAGTACTGCTGAACTTACGGATCCTTCCACCATTATTTCTTCCTGAAATATGCAAGGAGATGAAACATTTTCTGTAAAAGATACAGAGGATGCTCAACAAACTAGATGCTTTAAACTTGCCAAGTACCATAACTTTCCTCAAATACTTGGTCATTCCATAAACGAAAAGAAACTTGTACTAATGCGGAGGTTGCGGTGAAGAAGGTTAAAAAGAAAAAAAAAAAGAAAAATCAGCAAAAACCCAACTTTGATTGAACATTATGCATAGTGTTATGATAGTGCAAATTAATCAAAGCAAACAAAAATATTCAAGAATCAAAAGGGACCATATTCGAAGTAAACGTCTGCAAAATTCATTCAGTCTCATTAGATTACTGTTTGGGGTGGTTGACTTCATATCATATTTTACATCCAAAAAAGAAAAAAAAAAGGAGGGAAAGGAAGAACAAAACACAGTAATTTACCCTGAAGTACAGAAGAAAGAAAAGCAGAGCGAGTGAGTAAAGAAGAAACCCTGCGAGCTGCCATTAATGGCTTCTCCACTTTGAAGAGCAGACAAAAACTGCTGCTTCTTCTTGTTGTTGTTCTTATCTAATGGTGCGGTAAATAGTTACGTGAATGAAGCCAGATTTGGATATATAGAGAGGAAATGAATGAGCTCACTTTCAGCCAGAAGTTTCTGGGCTCAGATTTTGTCTTTCTCCTTCCAAAAACCAACAAAATAAAACAAAAACACACACCACAACCATGCTAAAATGATGATGCCAAAATTAAGCTCAGAAATCGGAATGAGATATTTTCTTTTTCTCTCAAAAACAAAAACAAAAAAAAAAAAAAGGAAAGAAAACCTCGAATATATATCTTTGTTGAAACCAGATTGAAATCATGGATGTTCGAAATCCTATCTAAAATGAAAAAGAAACAAAAAGGAGGCAGAAGATAACAAAAACATCAATTCTTGAGTCTTGTTATGAACGAAACCTTATTTTCCTCTGAGACTACAAAGTGAATGCTCTTTAAATCCTGAAACAAAAAAGGAAAATGACACACACACGTCTTTCTTTTCCTTTTTTCTTTTATTTTTCATATGTACTCTCTAAGGTGTTTTTGAGTGTGCTCTTCCCAAATTAATCCTTAATGACCTCTTGAAGAATATTTTTACGAATTAAAGGATCAAATGCACGAGATAAATGATAAATGATGAAGATCACGACCTAGGAGACTTGGATCATAAGGACTGATTTGTAACTATCTTCAATCTTGAGTACTCAATTGTATAGGATTGTAATTAGTAGGACTTGAGTGTAGATATGCTGTTATACATTTGGTAAGTTTAGTAGTTTGTTAATTGGAGTATAAATACTGTACCGACATAATCACCATGGTGATCATTTTCAAATAATATAGTAGTATTAAAAAGTTTTCTTCAAGTTATCAGTTGAGCTTCGTTCCTTACAAAAACCTTAGCTGGATTTCTCAATATTTATTTTGAAGCGGGTTCTCTTATATAAGTATTATCAATATCTTCTCGAAAGAGGAAAACATAAGAATTTTTTTCTTGGGAAGTTGTAAATTTCATTCAGCTTTGTCCTCTACAACAATCAACATTTACACTGAACTCCTACCCAGTGGTGGATTTACAATGGGGGTAACGGGGGCACTGAATCAAATCTGTGCACATAGTTTTTTAAAAGTTTTAAAAATTAATCCACATAATTTTTAATCAAATCTCCTTAAATATTTTATATTTTGTTAATCACATAAATTTTTTATTATTTTACGTTACTTTATTTATATTTAAAAATAAAATATTACTACTAACAATGAAATTATCTTAATTTGTGTCTAAATTTAAATAATTAATTATTAGTGATATATAATTCATATACAAATCACGTGCAAAACATGTGTAAATCACATGTATATATATTTATTTATATATATACTTATAAAGTTGATGAAAAATTGATTGATTGATATATATTATTAATTTTATGCCCCTACTAGAAAATATTTCTGATTCCGCCACTATTCCTACCTCTTCCACACAATTAATCAGTCGCCGTTTTTTCATTGTAGTCATAACTTGTTCAAGAAAATCGTTTCTACAGGCATTTGTTTTTTAAAGCAAAACTTAACTTTCCAGAGGATCTCTTTTTTTGTATCTGCTCTGCTTTCCACATCCCTCTTCTGCCGTGAAAATTTTAATTTGATTAGATAATTAAAACATGATTGCATAGATTCTATCTAAATTACTAAATGTAACAGAACATCAATTTAGTTTTAAAATATTTATTTTTACAACATATAGTTATGTGGCAATGGAATAATTTAATTTGATGGCACGTATAAGTACGTGGAGTATAATTTGTCAATTACAGAAAAATGCACACTTAAAAGGATAGTCTTCTTATATAATATTACTAGACTAGATGTTATACCTGTACAATGTGCGGGGTTTATTCATATACAATTTAGAAAAGAATATTTTAAGTTTTAAAGGTTGTAAATACAAATATAGTATTTGATTTGCAATAATAATTTTTTGTAAATTAGATCATCTGTTTGTAAATAAAACATTTGTACAATACATACACACTATAAAATGACAGTATCCAATAGATTGTACTAAAAAATGTAATAATGCAAAGTATAAGAATTATAATACTTAAAGTGTCTTTCAAAATAATACTAATTAAATTAAAGTAAATAAAACCACGTAGATAACAAATACAAATGTTGAATGTCATACGGAATATTTTAGGATCGAACTGTTGAACGCTCTTATTTTTTCATTTGAACGCCCGCGAAAGACCGAAACGCCCCTGCAAAATGGAGGTAAAAATTTTTTTTTTTCGAAAAGGGGGAGCGAAGGAGGTACGGCTGGCGCAGGAGAAGCGCGCCACCCCTATGGGGGTGGCGTGCAATAAACTCGCCTCCTTTTACAGGGAGGCGAGACAGCCTTCGCCAATGGCGAAGGCGGTGGCGCCAGATCTGGCCCCACCTTTGTCCGAGTTGGCGAGCACCGATTGGTGGCGCCCAAACGGGCGCCACCCATTTTTTTTATTTTTTTATTTTTTTAATATATTTTATATTTATGAGTTTAATAATTATTATTATTAGTTTAATAAATTTAATTAATTCATGTATTTATTTTATTTGAGTATTTGTTTGGTAGTTTAATATTTGTTTAGAAAATTAGGGTTTATGCTAATTAGGTTTATGATATTTAGAGAATGTTTTTTAATTACGTATACTGTTATATTAACTGAGTTAATGGATATAGCTGTTAGGGATTAGGATTTTTGTTAAAATAATGAGTTTTTATGAATAATATTTTTAATTTGTTATTAGTATATATTAATTATCTTTAAAGTATAAGATCATTATATCGGATTATATAACAATGTTTACTCATAGTAAATTATTTGTGGTTTAACAATGTTAGAGTTAATTTAAGTTATGATATAATTTGTTTTTAATGTATGTAGGATAGGTTTGATCAGGGGGATGGAATCGATTATAGTCCGGCTTTTGCTACAGACGAGACTTTTGCGACGAAGAAGGAAGCTGCCGCATATGCGAAGGGTATTGCGGACTTCTACAATATGGAGTTAAGTGTATCCTCGCACAAGGATAATACTACTATACTTCTTTGTCATAAAGGAGGGCGGTACCAAGGTCAACAGGTGGATGAAAACATGCGCGCCCGAGCCAATACAAAGACACAGATGACCGAATGCCAGTTTCGTGTTACTATTTACAAGACATATGATAGGTGGGCGATCCGTGTATATCCAGGTCCGTTGGAAATGCACAACCATTCATTGAAAGATCCACCTCGAGTCAGGAGGCCATTGAGTGAGAAGTAAAAAAATTTATTAAGGAGTACTCCAAAGCTGGGACTAAGGCAGTCCACATTTTACGGGCGATATGGACACAATTTCCCGATGAAAAAGTAACCTCCAAACAAGTCTACAACTACAGAAACTTTTTGCATAAGGTGGGGTTTCCAATTCTAGATGACCTGTCTGCCATGGACGTAGTGGGAAAGGTGTTAGAGGTCGCAGAACAACACAAATACATCATCTTCACGGAGTGCGATGAAGAGACACAGAGGTTATCCCACGTGTTTTTCGCACATCCGGATTCTTTGTTGCTGTTGCGGACGTATCCTTGGGTTGTTTGTGTAGATTCCACATACAACACAAACAAATACAAACTGCCTCTTGTGGAGTTTGTTGGAATGATCCCCTTGCAATCAGACATTCCTTATAGCATATGCTATTCTGAGTGATGAGACGGGAGACAGTTACCATTGGGCGCTGTGACAGCTCCGTAACTTGTATGGCGAAGATCTGCATCCGAGTGTCATCGTGACTGATCGGGAGCCTGGACTGATGAGGCCTCTTGATGATGTATTTCCATCCTCACATCACTTGTTGTGTACGTGGCATGTTTACAGGGATGTTGAAAGAAATGTGAAAAGAATTTTGAATGGAAATGCCCATGTAGCAAAAAGCTTCGCATATAATGCCTTCAAAGCAGTGATCGAAGCTGCAAATTGGGAAGTATACGAAGAAAAAGTACAGTTTCTGGAGCATAATTGGTCTCAATTTCAGCCCGTTCTAGAGTATGTTAGGAAGACATGGTTAGTGGTGGCGCACAAGTTTGTGCATGCATGGACCAGCACTTATTTGCATTTTGGCAACACCACTACTTGTAGAGTGGAGAGCGCACACAAGTTGTTAAAGAAATGACTCGGCATTCCAAATGCTTCTTTTGAAACGGTGTGGCACAGGGTTCACATGTTACTGGAGACACAACTTACGCAAATAAGGTATTGGATTTTGATCCCCTTTTTAGTTAATTTGTGTATTTAGGTTGTTTAATTAATTTGTTAGAATTCCTCCATAGGGAGAAATTGCAAGAATCAAGGCAGAAAATAGGGAGGTAACACAACAAGTACCCTTTCTACCAATTAAGATGCAATGTTTCACACTACTGCTTGGATCTATTGAACAATGAGTTGGAAAGGATGCAACAACTCGGAAATGATGTGTATTGGGAATGCAATCATTACCTGAAACAAACTCATTCCCTCCCTTGTGCATGTATACTTAAGCGTATAACGGAGGCCAGCGAGATTTTGACTCCAAAATACTTACACCAATTTTGGAGCACACTTGACATCGGTGAGGTTACAGAGAAGGATGGTTCGGATGATGTTCCATCTCACAGATTGTTGTTCAGGCAGTTAGTGGAAGAATTGGACGCTGCTGAGGAGCCAATACAGCGCGAGATCACCAGATTGATGTACAACAAACTTCACCCAGGCCAAGCCGGATTAAATGAACCGCGGGTTGGAAAGAGAGGCAAGGGCAGGCCGAAGAAGAGGGGCATCTCTAAAAAAAAGTAAGACAAACCAAATGTGTGGGCATACAGGGACGGCAATCAGGGTGGCACCAATACCAGCGGTTCCAGTAAAGCAGGTACGAGCCAAGGTACCTCGGGTAAAGGTGGGACGAACACCCACAGCCCAGAGAGGCCATACATCGGGAGTCAAGATCGAGCAGAGGTCCGATATTACTTTCTCTTTTTAAATGTGCGAAATATTATTTTACTTGGTTTATTGGAAGCACTTTTGTTACTGACCCATACGAGAGCAGGTACATGGACTGGGCAAGGTGAGACGAACACCAGCAGTTCCAGTAGAGGCCACAGGTCGGGTTCCGAACCCCATGTCGGAGGTACGTTTATAATTTATTTTGTTCTTAAATACTGATATGTAATTCAGAAATAATGATATTATTTTACGTGGTTAAAGATGTGATGCAGACAGACTTTTTCCAGTTTAGGCACAAGAATAAGATTCCGCAGGTACTCCACAATCATGTTCAGTCATATCTTGATGTCGAGGCTGACGGCAATTGTGGTTTCCGCGTCTTTGCGAGTTGCATGTTGGGAGGGCAGGATAATCAAATTTTGTGCAGACAGATATGTTATGATGAGGTTATAAATAACCCCGGCTCGTACGGAACCTTTACGGGTATGAAGCCGCTTTAATTTTGGTGAGCGGTTTTCATACGCTTGCATCAATGTTATTTTAATTAAAACCTTCATTTACTTGTCTTTGTAGGTGGGAAAAATTACCTGCAAGCCTAGAGCGTATACGGTGGACTGGTACCTCCGCAGGTCACTGGATGTCGACAGAGGACTTTTATCCCCTTGCTACATATTTCAATGCTGTTGTGTACTACTTCAGAACCAACGGTGCTGAAAATCTAAACGGCACATGTTGGACTGTGCTACCACTAAGCGCACGGGGCGGGGCAACAAGGCAAGAGTTCCAGATAATTATTTGCCACCTTGAGCCTTACCCGCACTTCATTCGACTCAATCTGCAGGGTGATTTTCCGATTCCCCCCATTCACCCCAGTTGGCTGCATGATCGTGATAATAGTGTTATTGGTTGGGAAGAGCCTTTTGAACCCAGACTGCAGCTATGGCGTACTTTGGTACCTCGGATAAGACCCACACGGGAATTTTGTGATCTCGGGTGATATGTAGTGTATATATATATTTTTTTATGAAATTGGTGAAATTTTAATGTAAATTAAAATTTAAATTGTAAATCGACATAAGTACATATTGTTCAGAATAATAGAATCGGTACATAATTGTTTAAAGGAAAAAGCACTGAGTAGAATGTCATGGGGCCTGACTGTGCCGGAAGATGACATCATCCAGGCGAGTATCCCACTCCTCACCAAGACCCAAATCGAGTTTCTTCAAATCGTCGATGCAACCTCGAGTCAACTTCTCCATCTCACGCATCCACTACAATTGTTAAATAAAACCATATTAATCCCTTAAAGATAGTACGTGTGTTATTAAACAAAGGGTATTCCAGTTAGAGTTGAACTTACGTAAGTGGTGCAGTTCTTCCCTGGGATGCGTGATGTAGACGGTACGGAGTCCGGCAGTAGAAATGGATGTGAATGGCTCCTGTACCAGTCGAGGTAATCTGCAGCTGCCTGTCCTACCTCAGTGGACGATACCGGCACACAATGACTGAGGTTGATGCACTCCGACTCCAGAAATCTAACCCAACAGTTACATGTCTCGGCAATCGGATGATCAACTAAATACTTGTGCGCATTTTTCCCGCGAAACTGAGTTACCGGCGTGAGCGGCGCACGAGGTATGTACTGCACGTAACCGAGCTGGCGTATCACTCTCTCCGGCATGTATGGCTCCTGGAAGTCGTGGTACATAATCCACCCACTGAAGATGGTCCTCGGATATGCTACCGCCTGTTCGCGACCAAATGGCTCCCATTCGACCTGCGAACGTTACCAACATTTATTATAGTGTACACAATGAACTACCCCTTACGCAATACACAGAATTAAAATATAAAGTGTACCTCTTGCTCAGTCATCACGTCGAGCTGCGTACGAATCTGTTGGAGACGACTATGAATAGGTTTCGGGCCCTTATAGCTAACTGGTGTCCAGTCTCGGGCTCTGGGCCAACCATCAACACCTCGACGTCCTCGCCTCTTGGAGGGCTGGAAGCATGGAAAATACTCATATATCCATGCTTGGAGAAGGGTCATACAACCAGCCATCGTGGTACACCCTGCTCGACTAGCAATACCAAGCTGACGGTAGAGGAATGCTAGTGTACCGGATCCCCAGGAGTACTCTGCAATATTGTCGATACCTCCGTGCAGCTCATTCATAAGCGAAGCACTGATCCTGCCCCCCACTCCTATCAAGGAAGAGTGTCGAGGCTAACAAGATCCACACCCAAGCTTGCACCTGAACAGCGGGGAGGACCCTGCGACAACACTCCTCAATCAATATGTCGCTCACACCTCCGTGGCGCCATGCACGCTTTAACTCAGCCAACGGCATCCCAAGCAATCCCGCGACCTACATCTTCAAAACCTCAGCTTCCGCAGGTTGGGTCAACAAGTAACCATCAAGTGGAATCGCCAAAATGTGTGCCACATCATGCATCATAATGGTCATCTCCCCAAACAGAAAGTGGAAAGAGTTTGTGTCGGGCTGCCACCTCTCTATGAATGCAGAAATAAGCGCAAGGTCAATATCATCATACATGGTATCAATCAGATGATACAAACCAGTATTCTGAATCTGCAACTGTGCGTTCTCCGGTAACCTCGCATAACATCCATGCAATCTAGACAAACTCTTCTTGGCTTCATCGTCAGGTAATCTCTTGGTTCTCCATTCCACAACTGATAAGCAGTGTGGCCAAGAAAACTAGGAATCACTGACCCATCACATGGCCTGCCAGGTACGTCGTCTGTCACAACCCAATCATCAGTTTCTTCGGTAGAAACCTTAGACCGTCTGCTAGTACCTGCAACCCGAATAAAGAATAGTGTATAAATACTTAATCGAATGCAATTAAGAAATTGACCAAGCAGTAATGAATGCTGAAATTGTTACAAATACATACCTGATGACGATGCAGCTGCCTCAGGACGGATAGAGGCACCAATGGATGCGCCACCAAAACGGGAACGAGTCTGAGTAGTCAGAGGGGGACCTCTAAAAAGAGTACTCTGCGAGCCTGCATGCTGAAGAGTAGTACTCTAACCTCTAAAAAGAGTACTTTGTGGGCCGACACGAACACTGGAACCACCAGGAGTGTAAGCTGAATTCAGGGCTGATAATCCCACAAGGGACTTCTCTCCCCCCCCTCCCCCCCGGGTAGGGTGAACTGGAGTCTGATCAACAGTACGACCAATGGGGTTCAGTACTGAGTTATCTGCAATATGTATATCCCTCCTCTCATGCGAGGAATACTCGGATGTGTCATCCTCCTCATCCACACGTCCCCCCCACTCTCAAAACTATCCTCAGCTGATTCCTCTCCCTCAAAATCATCATCATCATTATCATCATCGTCTACGTTGGCTGACTCCCCAAGTGGGCCAAACGTAGGATGTACATTTTTCACTTTCTTTAACTTTTTTTCTTTTTCTGCTCGATGTTCGGCATATAGATTGCGCGTAACTGTATGCCGATGTCCAGATCCCTCAAGAGGCGATATCCCATCCTACAAAAGTTTCAAATTTTACACGTAACTTAGATTAATTAGTTTAATACAGTTTTATATTATTTAAATACGTAATTATAAAATTATCTACTATACATCTTAAGTGTACAATTTATTAAATCTACTAAGTACAATTAATAATATCTACATATGTATTTTTTCATTTTTTAACCAAAATTAAATAAATATATAATTTATTATTTAATTTTAACCACAATTAAATAAATATTTTTTATTAACCCTAATTATCTACTAACCTCCTGTATTATTTCAATTTAAACTTATTTATTTAATTTTCTTATACTAAGTATTTAATTTCTACGTTTGATATTTTTTTGAGGCAAATTACAATTAAACCGACTAATCCATAAATATATTTTCTATAATTATATTTATAATAACTTTCATAATGATCCAATTTAATTTAAAAACCGTTAAACTCCCTAAAACTACAATTGAATTCCTAAAACTACAAAAGTATTATAACTAATTTATTTACAGAAGATTAAACATATACTTTTAATAATAGTGTTTCCTAAATAAATTAAACTAATAAAAATAACTAATAAATTTAACTAATAATATATAATTGAACTAAATTTCATAAGACCTACAATTACTAATAGTAACAATTAAATTACAATTACTATACAATTTATAAATAACAATTAAATTTAAATATATAATATAACAAATTAACAAAAAAAAAAAAAAACCGGCCGGCGCCGGTTAATCTTGCCAGGTGCAACCAGCCTGGCGAGACTTTTCTTCGCCACCCCAGCATCCGGCGGCGAAGAAAATTGCGCCACCACCGCCCTGACCGGCGAGGGAGAACCGCGCCGGGGCGTGCAGACCTGGCGCGCAGATCCGCGCTAGCTCTGTAAGGAGTGGCGCATATTTCTGCGCCACTCCTTCACGCCCCCGCGCGGTTCTCCCTCGCCGGCCGGGGTGGTGGTGTTTGTTTTTTGTTTTTGTTTTTTTTTTTATAAATACTCCTACTTAATTCAAATTCAAAAAAAACAATCCAAATTTACGTACCTTCAGTTTCCGTAACTCTTTATGTAGCCGTTTCATTCGATCAGCCATTGAATCTAAGTTTTTTAGTAGTTTGGATTGAGAGAATTTGAAATGAAAGATTGATTTAGGAATTGAAAGAATGAAATTGAAACTCTTAATTTATAAAATCATGTAAAGGCAAAATGGTCATTTGGTATTTAATTAGGGCGCTCAAGGGAAATTTTTGGGGCGTTTAGTAGCCTCCCAGATATTTTATACATGCACGAAAAAAAACGATACTGCAATCATCATAAGTTACAAAATACTGAACATAGAAGATTTTATTAAATTCATATTTATTCTTATCTTTATTATAATTTTACTAGAGACAATTATTTTTTCATGTGAGTTTTGTTTTTTTTAACAATTTTATGTGTAATTGAACAACTAGATTAATCACCATGTATAAGAATAAATCTTTATCTTATATAGCATTTCCACTAAAAAAATAGAGATCATTCATATAAATAAGCTTTAAAAGATATGTCATTTCATAAGAATAATAGAGATCAAAATTCTTTTGTTGTTCTGCCTCGATGAGACAAGGATATGACGTCTAAATGTAGTTGTATTTTGGATCTTTGGTCTATTATTTAGGCGAGTCTTTTCAGTATCGTATCTAACACTTTTACGATGATCTCGTCTAAAACTTTCCGTAAGATTTCTGCTTTTGTTGTTTTTAGTATCGGAATTTGCATGCTTTTGCAGATATGCTCTCTCGAGATCGTATGGCAAGCAATTTGTGCTTGTCGTATCGCAGGCAAAGGACTTTCGATCCACAGCATCGGACAACATTCCCAACTATCATATTTTTGTTAGAATTTTTCATAATATGTAATGCTCTCATGTTTGAAAAAATGTTCAGGGGTAATAATTATCGAGGACTCTATATAGTTAGTTTGGCTTTTAAAGGGATCACTATATTGTTCCTGGTAATAGTATTGGTATATTCTAAAAGGACAATCTCTCTAGCTAAAGAGACGTGGCAGAACGACTTAAAGGCCGACTAGGAATAGACCAAAGTGATATTTTGCTTGGCGCGGGTGGATTTCTACAAACACAATTCGCATCAGAACGACTGCTGCCTAGAGCCGTCAAATTGTAATATGTGGGCCGAAGATCAAGAGTGCTGAAATTGAGATCGGATATTCTTCTACTATGCATGCAAGGCATGTCAACATGCGGTCTACGCATACCAGATGACTTATTGGGATGGGTACAACTTTTTAACTGTAGCATTTAGTATTAAACTATTCTTAATTATCACTGAGACAACAAAGTGACTACTCTATAAATTATGAAACAAAAAGAAAATGACGCACACATCTTCTTTTTTTTTTTTTTTCCTTTCAGGGGTGGATCAATATTTTTGGAGGCCTAAAATAAATATGGAATTGGAGCCTTTCAAATATTGAAAAAATAAAAAAATATATATAATAAATTACAACAAAAGTACAAAAAATTTTCTTGATATATTCATTTAAAACTTAGATGTTACTATATGGCACCGCAAGCTTATAAAGTGTTTTCATTCACTTTTCTTTTAGGGTTTTGTGAAAAAAACTAACGGTCTATTTTTTCACGTAAAATGCACGTGAATTAACCGAAGAACATTATGTGTCCATCATAAAATTTTGAGTCGAGTCTTCGAGATCACGTGTTGTACTTGTAAATTTACAAAAATTTGAATTCTACTTGGACACACCATACCGTTCGTTCAATCCATATGCATCTCAAGTGCCAAGAGTTGATCATTAATTTTTTCACGAAACCTAACAAAAAGGTGATGAAAATACTACTTAAGTTTGTGACGTCATATATCAACATCTGAAATTATAGTTTTGAATGAATATAGCAAGCAATTTTTTGGTATTTTTGGAATAATTTATTGAAAAGAATAAAAGTTATAGACCTCATTTATACTTATTAGATTCGTAAACATTGGCAGTTCTTTTTGGTAGTTGGATAGATTGTGTGTGATTGTGATTCATAAACATTGAGAAGTTCTTTTTTTATTTGTTTAAATTGAAAGATTAATTTGTTGGGTATAACTAAAATATTACGAAGATTTGAAAAAAAGAGAACTCGAAATTTGCGGAGTTTGTATTGGGATTGAAAATTTGTAACTTTTTTTTTAATTTATTTATGAACTATAGCCTATTTTATCTATTTTAAATTTTTAAAGTAGTATGATAGTATTAATTTTTGAAAATTTGGGGGCCTTCCCAAAATTGAGGCCTAAAACCATTGTTTCATTAGCTTTGTGGAAAGGTCTGTTTCCTTTTTTGCTTTTATTTTTCATACGTACACTCTTGTGTTTTTGAGTGTGCTCTTCTCAAATTAATCCTTAATGACCTCTTGAAGATTTATTTTGAAGCGGATTCTCTCAAGTTTCAAATAAGTATCATACAATATACTAAAACAGTAACCCTTGAGTCAGGTATTCCCGCACGTTTCCCCCTTCCTAGGACACGTGTCATGCTGTCGTTTATTTGTTTCCCGCCTAAACGTCCTCAGTCTGATTTGTCATTTTGTGGTTTTTTTTAATTCTTTTTCCGTAATGAACCCTCCTAAATTATTATTTGTTTTCTTCTTTTGTCATTCTTTAACAACGTGGGTACCGGTTTTGATACACCGTCCCAAAGCACCTATTTCTTGCACCGGGATCACTTATTTTATATATTGCACTACTCGCCATGAATGTTGTTTATGTTATTCTTTTAAGCAGCAGATATTCTATAGTTGTGTTAGAAAAAAGTGGTACAAATTATTACAGTACAACATGATATATGAATCATGAAACAAAAAATTAAATTGTAATTAAAATTTGAAACCATTGTTTAATACATAAGTATAATCTATCTATAATATTTGATATACATGAACTTGAAACACACATTTTTGAAGGTGTTAAATCTTATTAAACGATGAAGGAAAATGGGGGCTAAATTCAGTATGTAGAACATTGACATGTGGTGTGACTGATTTTGATTTGTAATTTTGAATTTGAATGATTAGTGTACATGATAAAATAAAATAAGCAATATGAACCGCTGTGTATATGCTTAATCCATAATATAAAGCAGAAAAATATTAAAGCGGTTTGCATGGCATATCGAAATATGTACCACCGTTCAACCGCCTTTGGTTCAACCAATGATTGCTGTATCCATATGCATGCGCCAGGAAGTGGTTTTGCCTAACCAATCATCATTTTGTCTATGGCTGGCCTAACCTATGCAGTCATCATTGGATCTATTGACTGCTTATTTTATTTGTGAGGCCTCACAATCACCATCTGTTAGGCCTCACAAATTGTTGTGAAAATTTAAAATACTGTTTTCACAACAATTTGTGAGGCCTAACAGATGGTGCTTTATGCAACCATCTATAAAAGGACTCTCGAATTCAAGGATGTAAACATTGTATCCATTTACTATATTCTTCAAACCAGTAAGCATTTTGTGTGACAATGGATGAAGAATACAGTACCCTCGATCTAAGAACTCCTCTGTAGGATAGTTGGAAGATAAGAGTTAGATTAATTCGTGTTTGGAAGCAGCCTCTGTTCTCAAATCCATCAGAGAGTGGGAGCATAGAGATGATGTTAATGGACCATTTGGTATGTCTCATAAATGAATAATTGTATATAACTTGCCCAAATTATTGTTGTTTATAGTTTGCTATTTGTTTTAGGGAAATAAGATTCATGCAACCGTGAAGAGGTCATTGATTGGTAACTTCGTGGGGGTGATCAATGAAGAATCTTTTAAAATTATAACGCAATTTGGAGTGGCATCAAATTGCGGTAATTTTAGCACAACCAGACATCCATACAAAATCAACTTTTCCAGGAACACACAAGTACGCCATTGTATTGATCTCGGAATTAGCCCTTACAGATTTGAATTCGCGTCTTTCTCCGATCTATTGGCTGGGAAACTTGACGAATCATGTACAATAGGTGAATTAATGTGATTAATCACTGAAAGTGTTTGGTGTTTTCTGTTATTATGTGTTTATTATATATGCTTTGTAACATTTACATCGATGTACGACAGATATTATTGGGGAAATTGTTGTTGTCGGAGATTTGATTCATGGCGACAGAAATGGAAAGCCATCACGTTGGCTAACATTAGAAATGCAGGATTGCGAGTGTGTGAAATTTCTCTTGAAAACTTACTTATTCTTTTTTAATTTTTAATTAATTACTTACACGTTGATTCCCTTTGTTTATGTACTTGTTCTGTTTTCTCGATTGTTGTTGATGCTTAGGGATGTTAAGCTGACTGTCACTTTATGGGATGAGTACGCACAAACCGTAACGGATCACTTTGCAGGACGACCTGGTGGTTGTGTTGTCATGATCGTTCAATTTGCAAGAATACGTCCATGGAGAGGTATGTTGCTATTTTTGGTTGTGTTGCATTACAAAAAATAAAGTTTATGATATCAATGAACATACGCATTAATGATTTTTTGTTGTGGATTATGCAACAGGAACAAATACGGTGACGAATTCTCTGTTCTCTACCCGACTTTTCATTGATTCAGAAATTGATGAAATTGTGGAGTATAAGTCGAGATATTCATTGGTACTTTTTTTGTTCTTGTATAAGAATGTAACATTATTTCATGGAACCACAAAATTGATTGAATATGTCAGGATGGTGAATGCTTATGGGACCGATGATCCGAGTCGTGTGGTATCTTACCTTTGTACACCATCACCCATTTCTAAACCGGATGATTTTCTTACATTGAACCCGAAGAAACGAATTGATGAACTAGAGGATCTTAATGAGGTGAAAGTTGATAATATTATTTATTGCTTCGTATTCTGTATATTAATTCGTACTAACACAATTTCGTAATATTCCAAAGTTGTGTGGATGTTGTGGTTGCTTCAATTGTTTCTATTGAATCCGAGTATGGTTGGTTTTATATTGCATGTAAGAAATGCAATAAGAAAGTTAACCCAGCTGTGGAGGCGGTTGAGTTAGATGGTGGTGGTGTTCCTCTTCAGT